CCCCCCCCCCCCCCCCCCGAGCTGACATCTCTCATGACCCATTTTCATTATGGCCGACTAATGGTTGGTGACTTGCTGCTGAGTGCTAAATGGAAGGAGAACAATATACAGATGAGTGGACAGACAGTCTGACTTTAGCTGCTGGTCCTGAGTCTGACCCAAGCTAAACAATGACTAATGGGCAAAACTGAGACTTGTGGTCTAGACTGATTTTAGTTAAAGGAATAGTTCACATCTTTTGAAGAAGGGTTCTATGGGCACGTTATGAATAATTGGTATGTTACCTGTTCTAGATGGCTTTAAAAAATGTCCATTTGGAGTTTAATGACCGGACTGATGATCAAACGACTAATCTGAGCAGGTCCAAGTTGTCTGTCATTCTGAAACAAACTTGTGTATGAAACTGCCGCCTTTCAAGCCAGAGTTGTAAACTAAAATCATCTTGTGTGGAGAAATGTCAACATTGTATCCATTCTGGTCAAATCTCATTTGATTCACGAGATGTCCATGACTCAGCTACGACCACATCCAGTTTTATCTCAAGATCTGTAAAATTCACTGAGTTCAATTTTTTTTATCAGTTGGTTGTGGCAGCCATGTTGGATTAGATTGGTTACTTTCGGCAAGTTTCATAAAAATTCATTGATAGGTTCATGAGATATTTTAACCACACCCATGTGCACGCAATAAACATAACGATTTATACAAAACCTATTTTATAAAAGTTTAAAATACAGATATTCCAGTAGGAAGTGTCTTGGACTGCAGCAGATTTGCTACAGCTAGCTTAATAGTCACACAGGAGCCTGTTTTATAGGTTTTAGTTTTATACTATTGTGTAAATCTTTGTGAATAACAATGTGGCAGCAATCCACTGTGATCCTGGCCTCGATCAGACTAGCTGTTTGCTCATCAGTTAAGCCAAAGTTGAACTCTTTCTCCAAATAGATGTCGTTCAAAGAGCTGTCTACAACAGGTAAGATATTAATTGTCCATACCTTTTCTCTCCACAGAACTAGACTTCAAAATATCTGAGCTATTGCTTTAAGTAAAAAAAAGAGTAAGATATATGCAGAGATGGAGGCTGTGTTAGTGGGGAGGGAGTGGGCGAGATTCTCAGGAGGTCGGGCAGCAGAATGGTGCAGTGACAAAATGAATAGCAGGAGTAGAATGACCCGGAGTCCCACTGGAGAAACTGAGCCACACAGCAGGACTGGAGGCTAAAACCTGACGGAGTAATATTTCCAAAGGTGAAGGAGAAGGAATGAGATAGCTGAGAGCTCTGAGACCCCAAAAAATAAGCAGTAAAAACTGAACGGTGAGATTCAGCTGCGAGGATAGCTCCGAGCACTTACAAGTGTCCCCGTTGGAACATTTTAACCAAACAAATGGACAAAATGGGAAAACATTAAACTGTGCAGTTTGTGCACCAGAAAGTTCAGAATGTTTCCACATCGTAAACAACCAGTCTCACCCTGAGGATCCTCAAACTTAGCTCAATATCCGGCTCCTCGTCCAGGCCTGACATTTGCAGAGAAAACCTTAAACAGAAGGGATCAGGGGGAGGGGGGCTGGGCGCTCCTCTGCTCTTTTCTCATTAGAATCCCCTCATCAGTCGTTTCCCCACGGAGCTTGGGCTTGACATGTTGGGGTTTATTAATCGCTCCAGGAATTATTATTGACCTGGACCTTCTGCTCCCTCTCTCGCTCCCCCTGCTGCAGTAAAGCGTCTCCGCTCGCCCCCGCATTCCTCCGCTGTCCAACCTGGACACAAGACAGGACACTGCGGCACAGCGTGGAACCGTCAACAGGTTCTTCATTGACTCTGCGCTTGGCCAGGGCTCGCGTTTAACTGCAGCTGCCATGAGCCCCACACACCTGCAGCCAGGGGGACTCTGCTGCGCTTCATTACCAGTGCAATTGACCAAAATTCTAATTTAGAGCAATACAATAGGCATTTAAAGCTGCAAACATATCAAGGCTGTAATCTGTAAATCTGAGAATCAGCATGAAAACGAAGCACTTGAAAAATCTGGTCTGAATGCTCAAGAATAGAGCTCTGATAAAAGCTGTTTTTAGAACCGTTAGACGTGATAGCATCTTGTCGTTTGGCCGTTTGTGTTGCGATTTCTAACGCAGTATTCTTTAAAACCAACACATGCAACATCCTGGAAATCCCTTGTGCTTCGGCACGGCCTTGTTACGGAAATAGCCGAAGGAAAGCAGCTGGTATCGGCTACATCAGTGGACCTTAGTGGAAGAAGTCCTGATGATGCATTATGTGTTCATGCAGTTTTTGAGTTGCAATGGCTGCTCCAAGTGAAACTTTAATGTTCGCCAACAAATAATTCACTTTTTAAATGAAACTGGAATAAGACTTTTCAACTGTTGTCTTTTTTCTCGCAATAATAAATGTTCTTTTCTCTAAGCTCACTCACTGTGACCTTCCCGTGTTCAAAGACTGACATATCCTGCCACCGTGTGGACATATTTAGTATTACACCTGGGCTTTACGACAGGACTAATAAATGACCAGGATATGCGTGTGTTGGTCCATTGTGTCCTCGTGAACTTTGCCCCGATGAACACATTCCTGAAAGCAGGAGTCAAAAATAAAGAAACATGTCTCAGATCTGTCAAAAGCTTTTGTGCGACCCTGAATAGCGATATTATCCAGCAGTCGTGCTCTCATGAAAATGTTTTGCAGACATGTCTGGCACCTAATTTAATATCCGTCTTCATTTTGTTTTCTTGCAGCCACAATGGTCCCCCTTCTGTTTCTGGTGACTGACGCACAAAATTCCACTGGCAATGGCAACAATACTAAAGGTAACAAGAAAAACAAGTGTGCTTTAACATGAGAACGATGCAAAAACACGTACGACGACAAATCTTTTCTTAAATACATGATTATTATTACACGCCATCTGCTGTGAATACATCTGTTTAAAGGGATGGCTGGTGATTTTTCAAATTATGTTCTGTCTAATAGATATTAATAGTGAGGTATTTTTCAAACATATAAAATAAACGTTACTCAGTAACGTACAGGTGTGAAAAATACGCAGCATTAGCTGATATAGGTACTAGGGGTGTAACGGTACGCTAAAATCACATTTCAGTTCAGTTTCAGGGAGGGCTCGATTCGGTTAATTTTCGGTACAAAAAAGGCCAAAATAAAGACTTACAAAATGTTTATTTTGAAAATATGCCAAGTAAACAATACGTTTGTATAAAAATAAATAAAAGCGACCCATTTGGATGATATTTTAAATAAACGGCAGTCTTTAAAAACTATACTAAAAATCTTAATAAATACAATAACAGTCAGAACCAGAACAATAAGCAGCAACAGACTTGTTTAGACAGATGGATATATTTATATGTATGTATATATGTATATATATTTATATGTATGTA